AGGATTAAGCTTCAGGTATCTGAGAATTTTTCTAAGTTTTCTAGAGTGAATAGTTGTTCAATGTCTCCTCCATTTCCTTGCTTTTCATAATCAATTCTCGGATTCACTCACTAGAGGACTAACACACACTTTAGTTAATCTTTCTCCATTTAAATATTTGCAGAAATTTTTACTATTTGTTTATATTGCTAGATAGCTTTCTCTCATACTGAATTTTCTTCCTTTATTGAGTCATTCCTTGCTGGTTCTTAATATTGACTTACCACTAATCTTTTCAGATTTGAACAGTTTTTAATCAATTTGATCCTATCTTTCATTTCCTTATTTAGGCATAAATGGTGTGGCCTTCTTTCTCACTGAAATAAATCTTTGCTGAGCATTGTTAAATATTTCCTGAAATATTTGCTACTGCATCTCTAGTGTCCTACTGTTTAATATAGTTCACTTTAGCTAGCTTCACTTCTGCCTAAACGCCTTTATAATTACTGCATTCAAGTTTAAAACAGTAGTCTTAGACCCAAACTTCTCCCCTTCAAATTGGTTGTGAAATTTTATAATATTTATGATCACTGTCACTTTGAGGCTACTTTACTATGAGGATATTGATTAATTGTGTCTCATTGTTCAATACCAGGTCTAAAATAGGTAGTTTTCAGTTGGATTTAGAATGTATTACTCTAAACGATTATCCTGAATACACTATATGAACTCATTTTCCAGGTTACCTCGATCAATCTGTTAATCCACATGTAGATTAAAGTCACCCAAAATAATTCCAATTTTTTTTTTACATGTCCAATTTACTTATTTCTGTATACTCTGTTCCGTAGTTAGGAGGGCCTATAAACTACTTCCACAAATGAACCCTTGCCTTTCCTATTTCTTATCTCTGTGCAAACTGATTTTACATCTTGGTCTTTCAAGCTCAGTTCAACTCTCTCTATGATATGAATGACATATCTAAGCTAAACAGAGCTGCCCAATACCTTTTACTATCTTATCTTTAAGAAATATCAAATGTCCTAAAATATTCAGGTCTCATCCTCTTTCATCCTATTAGATATAATGGCTATCAGGTCAAATCTCTTTATTATCTTTGTTGATCTGTATCTATATATTGTAGCTTCTTGTCAGCATTATAGCCTGCTCATCATTCTCTCCGAGGCATGTTGAGTGGACAATGCACATGGTGGGTGTTTTGCCAGTCTTAAGAGCTACTCTCCCAATTGCTTCCTTCAACCACCCTATCAGTTCCTTTCAATGGAACCAACTGCCAGTAGTTAGATGACACTAAATGCTCAAATCCAAAGCCATGGCACCTGAACTCCTTGTGTGAAATGCACCATTTACACTACCCAGCTCTCTCTGTCATTTCATGCTATCTTGTCTGAACCTAGCTATGTGTAGCACTGACCTGAACTGCTGAACTTGTTGCCTCTTTGCCATGCTAACATAACTGCTGGGTGCACTGATGATGTGTGACCCCAGTCTGTAACTACAAATTGGAATGGGCCAGTAAAATATCAATCAATTTTCACCTAAACGGCAAGAAGTGAGTCACTGCATTTGACATCATAGCAGCATTTGACCAAATGTGGCATAAGGAACTTTAGCAAAGCTCGAGTCAATGGGAGTTTGTCAGGTTTGTGTCCCTCCATTACTAGGTCAGAAATGGTGATGTGCAATCATCAGTGAAGAATGTTCAGACATTTGTTACTCCTCAGATGTTGAAGCAATCCATGTTCAAATGCAGCAAGACTCGGAAAATGTTCATATTTGTGCCAACAATTAGGAGTGGGTAATAAATGCTGGTCCAGCTGACGAAGCCCACATTCTCTGAATGAATGGAAAAAGAATCCTTATTTTCAGCACCATGCGCTGTTTTCACAAGAATTACAGTCTGTTCTTTCTAAACGAGTTCCAAGTGTAATAATGTCAAAACTCTATTTCGACAGCACCCAAAGGATTTTATACACTCCACCCTCTCCCTGCCTCCAAGGGGATCCTCAAAGGGTTCAGAAAATGATGGCCACAGTGACAGAGAAAGGTGAAAAAAATTGTGTTATGAAGTGCATGCTGTGCACAGGTCTATTAATGGGTTTTGATAAATTTTGCCATTCCACAAGTAAAAGAGTTTACTAGTTTCATAAACTGTTTAGAAAAGCATCATATTTTTGTGTGAAAATAAACATAGTTCTTTAGAAAATTCAGCTAGCTGGACAGGCATGTTAATCCATAATATTCAAAGTTGATAAAACAATAAGAATATATCAAACTTAACAAGGGATAATGAATTACTTGCAATGCTAAGATTGTCATGTATAGAACTATTTGCAGGCACTGTCACATGCCACTCGATATGTGGTTCAGTTGCAAACAATAAATTATTTGCTTAAAGTAAAACCATCAACTTTCTTTGAAAGATTTGAAATCCATGGGATCTACACATGAACACCCATATCCCATTCATATCTTTCATAAGTTGGAATAATCATTTATTTTTAAAAGCAATAAATCTTGTTAAATTTAAACAATGTCCAAATTGTAAAGAAGTAACCAAATGCAAAACAATTAATTTTCAATCATGAATGTCTTAGAAAAGTCTTATCTTTTTCTGTAATCTTACTTAGACTTATTTCTTAGACATCAATCACTTACATAACACATAACTCTGACTGAAACTCAGCCTCTCATTTTTAAGGGGTGCTAAATACCAATTACAATCCTAGAAAGGAAACAATCCACCTAGTAGAATAGAGGTGAAGGGGGTGATATGTAAGACCCATAGGAGAAGGCATAAAAAGTAGTTTTCAGCAGTGAGAAACAAAAATGAATCAAAATTGGGTGAAGGTAAGACTTTCATTAAATTGTGCAATACAGCCTTGAAATGTAAATACCTTGACTAGGTTAAGGCAAGCTTGGTACCCAATTAGTGATACTAAGCACAAACAGCAAATACAGACTGCAGCCATGATAGTGTCATTGCTACCTTTAGGAGGAGGAAGGGCATTGCCTCGGAAGGCCAACAATCTCACCACAAACAAAAGTGGCCAAACAGTCAAAATGAAAGCCAATACACAAGATATAAAAATGTCGTGCAATTTTCTGCTTCAAAACAGAAGCTTTACTTTTGCCTGTTTTGAACCTGATGTCTGTGCATTAACATGCAGACTGAGATAACAAGGTGTAGCGCTGGATGAACACAGCAGGCCAAGCAGCATCAGAGGAGCAGGAAGGCTGTCGTTTCGGGCCTAGACCCTTCTTCTGATGCTCCTCTGATGCTGCTTGGCCTGCTGTGTTCATCCAGTGCTACACCTTGTTATCTCAGATTCTCCAGCATCTGCAGTTCCTACTATCTCTGAAACATGCAGACTGTTCAGGTTTGGCAATTTATGAATTGAAAATTGCCTTCTTATTCTCCCCAGCCCGTTAACAAGCTTCTCGAGGAGCTTAACAGGTCCTTAATTGGAGAGAAGTGATCCCTGAACTCCCCCCATTTTAAATATTGTGTTGTTTAATGGAGGCGGCACAATGCAGCTCTGCCCTCTGTGATTGTGAATTTGAAATCGCACCAACAGCCAGAGCTGCCCCAACTGGCGAATATACATCAAACACCATGAACGGTAACAAATAAAGACTGGGAATCCATTAAAAATAAGAAATTATTTGTGAGAACTCAGAAGAAACAGTGGCAGCAATTTCTTTCAGTCTAAAACCTACACTGGGTTTCTGCCGTGGTAGCTGATATTGCTGATTTTTCTTTTGCTACGATTACTTCTTTCCTGTGTCATAAGTGTGAATAGACTTGGAAATGGACGGATTCATGTAATATTTATAATCTAGGTTGCACTCAGCTACATAGATTTTATAATTGAAAAGGAATTGATGTGCAGATCTTCATTTAGAGCTCTTCGTAAAGTCTGGCACATTAGGAATGACATGTATATTGCTTTTGAAATTCTGCCAAGAGATTCTGGAGCACAAACACTTAACGTATTTTTTTGATGTCATTCTTGTTGCTATTTTATGTTGATATTCCAACCTGTGTAGCTTCCATTAAAGTTACTGGAGATTTGACAGAGATGTTAAATTCAAAGAAATACGTAATAACAAAGGATCGTAATAATGTTGAAATAAAGTTGTAGATAAACAGTTTATGATTTAAGGAGTGTGATTTGTACATAATGACATAATTCATTTTTGAGTTTCGATTTCAAACTAGTGCCACATGGGTGTTTGTCTTCTCTTTTGTGACAGGGTTTAATAATTAACTGGGTTAGTCTTTTCAGAACCAAGATTTTAGAACCAGTGTCAGTCAGCAGATAATTCGAAGGCCTCTTTGAGTTAATACAAGTTTGTTTATGCTGTGGGATTTATGACAGGAGGAAAAAACATAGCATCAGCTTAGAAAAGCTAGGATGAGCAAGTTTTTTTTATTTAGTTAAAAAGCTTTTGAGAACCGTTCATAGGAGACTTGACTGAAGTCAGATGTAAAAATAGCTTTTCTCAGAAAAAGTAGTTCGCTCAGAGCAGTTAAGAGAATAAGTTACCTCAGTGTAAGGGTTTCAGTTTGTGAAAACCTCCACATCAGTCATGTTTGGTTAGAAATCTATAATAGTGATTCAAAGCTGAGAAAGTCTAAGATCTCAGTGGTGGAAGGATTCAAGGAAAAAAACTTACCAGCTTATAGGACAGGAACCGAGTGGCAAAAAGCCGCGAAGTCAAACTACAGATTGCAGAGGGAATGAGAATTTCTCTTTCTTGACTAACTGTAAATTGTGTTGGAGAGTAAATGGGGCTTTATTTTGCCATGTGTTTTGAAGTCTTTCAAAATGTGTTATACTTAATATTACAATTTCTCAAGCAGATGAGTGGTTTTGTATTCTGTTTTGCATATCATAGGTTACGAGGAGTACTTCTTTTGGAGCTCATGATGTACAAAACAATGTCAAACAAGCTTTACTCTACAATGGATGAGAAAAATAAATAAATTTTCATACTTTCTTTAATTGTTCAAGTTGAGCAGTCTGGAGATCGTAATCTGTATCAGAATGGCTGTGTGTGGCTTTGTAGGAAGCAAAATCTGTTTGGAGTTTTACAAGTGACTCTTCCCATTCAGTAGCCTGGAATGAAAATAGCTTCATTTAAGAAAGAGAAAACACTTGCAATTTGGCATTGGAAGCATAAAGTAGCTTAAAAAGCAATTATATGTACCTTTCTTTGTTTATTTTGATTTGTTGCCAATATTTTTACTAAAATCTTTTGCAGTATCCCTCCAATGCATCTGGTTGGTGCATTGTCTCAAAAAAGTGCACGTATATTTCTTTAATTTGTTCATAGGGTACAGGCATCGCTGGTTAGGTCAGCACTTATTGCATATTCATAATTGATCAAAGGGCAATTAAGAGTGAATCACATTGCTTTGGGTATGGAGTTATATGTAGGCCACACCATGTGAGATTACCAAATTTCATTCCCTATAGAATATCAATGAATCAGTTGGGTTTTTATATAAGATGCAACTGTGATTGCATGGTTACCATTAGAATAGATTTTTATTGAATTCGAATTTCACCACCTGCCATGATGGGATTCAAACCCATGTCTCGAGCATATTAGCCTGGGCTTCCGGATTACTAGCTCAGTGCCATGTCCTTGACACCACTACCTCCTTTGAGGCATATAATTAAAGACATACATAGCCTGTAATTATGCATGGCTAATGAAAGAAATAAGAGCACAAATATGCCTTGGGAGAAATTTGTTCTCAATACATTTTTCCAGGCATGTAACTCCATATATGATTACAATTTAATTACTTTCAAGATGGTGGTCTTGTGGTAATGTCATGGAACTAGCAATCTAGAGGCCCAGGATGAGGAATTGGGTTCAAATCTTACACAGCAAGCTATTCAGTTTAAGGGCAATTAGAAATGGGCAACAAATGATGGCTACATCCAATGAACATAAAAAATGTACATTTTCTTTTAGACTTTTCCTCCCTTTCTCTTTAGTCAGGGACAATGACGACTTTATGTTTCTTTTTAGACAGTTGATAATGTGCAGGATGGATGTTGGGAAAAAAGAAATACAATTCACCAAAATCTCATCACTCTGTACTGGTCCATTTAGGTTTGTGAATATCATGTAGTTGTGGTAGAGGCCAAGTTTGGCATATGCAATATACAATATTGCAAACTTATTGGGAGACACAGAATAGATTTTATCACCAATTTTGTTGGAGAAAGTGGTGATGTGCCTTCTTGAACTGCTGCAGTCCTTGCCATGTTGATGCATCCACAGTGCTGTTAAGAAGAAATTTCTGGATTTTGACCCAGAGACAGTGAAGGAAAGGTAATATAGTTCCAACTCAAGATGTTGTGAAACTTGTAGTTGGGTGTGGTCCCATGTACTTGCTGCCCTTGACCTTTTAGGTGGTAGAGGTTGTGGCTTTGAAAGTTCCTTTGTAAGTGCTGCTTGATAGCACTGACGATGGCCTGTTCTATCATTTTGGTGCTGATCGACAGTAGATTGATGGAGTGATAATTGGTCTGGTTAGTGTTAGCCTGCTTTTTGTGCAAAGAACATACTACAACAAATTTCCACATTGTTAGGTAAAAGCCAGTATTGGAATTGTGCTGGAACAGATTGATTGGGGGAATGGCTAGTTGTGGGGCTCAAGTTTTTACTTAACTGGAATGTCATTAGTGCCCATGGTCTTTGCAGTATCTAAAATCTTCTAGACATTTCTTGATATCATGTCGAATAAATTGAATTAACTGAAGACTGGCAGTTGTGATGCTGGGAACCTCAGGAGGAAGCTGAGACAGATTGTGCACTTGACACCTCTGAAGAAGGATGTCAATGTTTCAGTCTTGTCTTTTGCACTGAGGGGCTGAGCTCCCTTATCATTGAGGATGGGGATATTTGTGGAACCTCTTACTCCTGTTGTTTAATTTCTGCAACCAGTCAAAACCAGATGCAGGAGGGCTGCAGAGCTTAAAACTGATCTGTTTGTTGTGGGATCACTTAGTCTTTATTACTGCATAATGCTTCTGCTGTTTGGCATGCAAGTAGTCCTGTGTTTTTGCTTGGGCAGAAGCATTTTACAGGACTATATTAATCTCTTACTTTGTTGGTACAGAAAAACTTCATGAATTAATTTATTCATAAATCCATTATAGAAGTTTATAAAATAATGAGCGGTATAGATAGAGTTAATGGTAGTTGTCTTTTCCCTAAGATGGGGAATTCCAAGACTAGGGGGCACATTTTAAGATGAGAGGAAAGAGATTTAAAAAAGACATGAGGCAAATGTTTTACACAGAGGCTGGTTCGCATGTGGAATTTACTTCCTGATGAAGTGGAGGATGCAGGCACAATTACAGCGTTTAAAGATAATTGGATGGATCTATAAATAGGAATGGTCTGGAAGGATATGAGCCAGGAGCAGGCAAGTGGGACTAATTTAGTTTGGGATTATGTTCAGCATGGACTGGTTAGACCAAAGTGTCTGTTTCTGTGCTGTATGTCTCTGTGACTATATGACTAAATACATACTCTATGAGAAAAATAGAGTGTAATTTCATATTACAGCCATTCACATGAACTAAAACAATGGGCATCCAAGAGTTTATGATTGAGGAAATGGGAAGGAATTGGAAATTCAATGGCCACTCGTCCCAGTGCTATATTCAGGTCAACCTGTAAATGGGCAAGCAGCCTATCTGCAACAGGCCATAAGCTTGCTTTGCTGTGCAAACTGGGATTGTATGTCTGTTGCAGGAACACAATGTAAAACCAAATACAATTAGAAACAGCTTCCCCAATTCTAGGATGTACCTGTGCAATGACTCAACACCAGAGCTGTTTAGATTTCATCAGGTTGCAGGTAACAAGCTGCATCATGACAATCATTTGACATGGGCAACTTGCTACTTTAATTGAATTGAATCTAATGCTGAATTTGCCTTTGGGATCAAGGGAGGCTTGGTGAGCAGCCAGACCAATCTCTCCAATTGTTTGTGGTCTGTTTTAGGTTCAAGTCAGATTTCTATCCCTTGGTACCATTCACTGTAGTTCTTCAATTAAGTTCAATTGTACAGCATACAGTATACATCATCAAACTAACATGTACTTCATTTTAAAGAGCAAAATGATTTTTAAAAATTGTTTGCTATGCTTATTCAATTAGGTAACTGTTAGTTATCATAAAATGTTTATGGGAAAGTAAAATGCAATTTCAGATAGAACATTTATAAATTCTTAAATGAAAAATTATAGGTTAGATTAGATGTGGAAACTATTAAAACTATTTCAGACTACTGTATCTAAATCAGCTTTTATTGAGAATTGGCATTTTTGTTCATATTTCTCCTTGTTTTCTTAAGAATAAAGGTGTTGGGGTGATTAAATAATTTGGTAGACAAGCACAGGCTTTAACAGAGCATGCAATAAAGCAAACCATGCTGTGTCCAGGTAATCTCAAACTGTAAATCAAAATCAAGTAAGGTTGAAAAATCAATCTTTTTGTGTTACCTCCAGGGCAAACACAATTTATAAATGCACCATTCAAATAACCTCCACTGCAATGTTAACAAGGCTTTAATATCATACCTCTCTTAAAATGCAGAGATTTTGCTTTAAAAACATGTAAACTAATTTCATTGCTAAGACAAGAAAAACATGGTATTCCATAGCTAAATATCTATCAATTCCATTAACTTTATAATCGTCAAAGAGCACAACTTAACCTGAAGGTTATTTCATGAATGAGAAAAAGCCATATCAGCAATGTGTTCAAACTTCACAGGAAGGGATATTTTCCTTATGAATGAGATGTAGCTGTTTTTCAGGATACTCTATGTATGTGCCGTAGGACACAGATAGCAGTCAATATTGAGTTACTTGGGCTTGGACAATTATGTAATGACATCTTAGTAGATATAGTCTGGTCCTTAAAGGTGAAATGTGGTTTGGGAAAGAGTCCTTCCTTAAAATTAATCTCTCTTCTGTGAAATGCAACAAAAGAAATGACTAAAATAGAGTTCTTTGTAGATATAGAGGGAGAGAGGAAATTCATGGGATGACCCTTCCTTTAGTCTCAAATATATAAGCAGAAATCCAACTGAGATCACTGGATCAAAGTGTGTTGTAGGCTGTAATGTCTTATTTTAAAACAGATCAGGGTGATTCTAATGGTTTGGATAGTTGAGGTTAATGAGAGTGACAATTGGAGAAAGTGGCACATATACTGCTCTTACTAGGTTGTGTTGAGGAAAATCATTAGGACAGGGAAAAGGAAGTTTTATTCAAGAACTTGCCTATACTTATCTAACTTGTGATATTAGCTGGATGCCAAAATATAAAGGGACCAATATTTCTCAATCACTCAGCCACACCCAATGTCACAACCTTCACGATTAAAGTCAATATCAACTTTCATACCATTGCTTTCAATACGATTCCATTTCTTTTTCAGGAAAAGCATCCCCTTTTAGCATTTAAATAATAATCTGTTTCTATTTCCCTACAAATTTTTCCATTTTCCACATTATTTACCATCTGTCAAATTTTTAGCCACTCACTTAACATATTTCCATTCCTTCCAGATTCTTTATATTCTCCTCACTTTCCCCAAGAACAAATATTAGATCATCTGATATATATAGTTTTCTCCTTTCTGTTTCCTTGCTTTCTTGAATAGTAGTGTTACATTTACAGTTTTCCAATCCATTGTGTTGTAGCTTCACACTTGTTTAATTTCTGTTTAATGTGTAAACTTTATTTCTAAGTTTAACAGTTTCATCTCCCATATTCTCCCGACTGTCAGCCAAGCGACCTCTCAAAGAACAGTATGAAAGAACTTAAAGCAATGGGTGTCTCTGAGAATTATAGCTTGCTTGACTACTTTAAACTAATAGTTGAGGTTAGAGTGGATACAGAATTAATGTGTCTGATAACTACCTTACCTCCGATTAACTAAAAATTGGTTGAGTCTGTCTTGGGCATCTATGACAGCAAAGAGTGCTGTGCTATGACTCATCACAGGAAGCACCTCCTGCTCCTCCAATTGTTCCTCGATGATGTAGAGCATTTATCACATTATTTTTCTTCTATGGTAGTGTCACTTCTTGTC